ATGCAACCTCTGGCTAAAAGAAAAATTCCTGATAATTTACCGACCCGACCTCTCATCACTAAATAAGCGTAACGAACTCGTATCTTCATGCTGACACAGAAGCAAAGCGTTGCTACGCAACAGCTGAACTTTAAAGTTTTTAAGTTTACCGCGTATTATGTAAATTTTCCTAGTATATACACGATAGTCACACGAATATTCTTTCATTAAACCCCTGAAGATGAAGCGATTCACGAAACAGGCTTGTCGGGAAATGTAGTTGCGTCCCTTTTTCCCTCTCATAATATATATATATATATATATATATATATATACGCATTCTCCTCTCACCAGTCTAGTTATCAACCTCAGGTGTCCCTTTTTTTATTATGATAGTGTTTATTTGAGAGTAAGATAACTCAGTGACATAAATGTTCAGTCGAGACGTTTCCCTTTGCCGTAAACTTCATCTTTAAACTCACAATAAAATCGTTAGCTTAGGTAATTCTTCAAGTTAAGATTAAGTCTTCTTCTTCGATTTGTTATTACGAAATGCTTTCTGTTTCATTTCCGGGTCACTACAGTGACATCAGTTCTCTTAATTTAGCTGCAGTTTGACCATCTCCAACTCTTTCACTGAAAACCTTATCAAACAATTCATTCTGTTCTTCAGTAAAGTAATCTTTCCATCCTCCTACTTGACCCTTTCTAAAAAAGCCATCACCCTTGATTCCTTCAAACCAAGTAAAGTTGGTATGACTGGAGCTCTTCATGGCGTCAAAGGACGTTTGTCTGACAATAAGGTCACGTGTTTCAGGGGAGATCTTTTTACTAAGGAACTTTGCTATCTTGTCAACAGCATCTGCTGGATCCTCAAATAATAACATTTTATAACAAACTATTATTGTGAATCTCGCAAAATGACGCTAATAAGTTCAGGTTTTTCTGTGGTTTGCTCCAATTACTGGATCCCCAATGTGATTGGTCAAAATAAAGTTATACGTTGCTATCTTTGCATTTATTTGGATCTTGAAACTCGCTGGAGCTTTCCCTTGAAACAGGTACAGTCGGCCTTAACGCATCCTGAGTGTGACGGTTTTCTAGTGTTTAAGACGAGCCCGTAGTGTCACTTTCATTTTGATGGGTTTAGTTTTAGCGGTGTAACTGAAACATTGTTGCCTTGATGCCTTGACAAAATGGTCTAGTTGCTCACATATTAAAGAACCGTAAGGGGAAAAGCTGCATGGCGACAAACAAAATCTTATCATGTATACATGCAAATCCTTGTGAATTGTTAAAGACTCAAACTTTTTTAAACTGTCGAAAAAATTGAAGAAATCTGTTTACGCGAGTCCTCTTTCTGGTATCTATTTATTTCCTTCGTCCGCAAGTCATACTCAAAGCCTTTGAAAATAGACTTAATTAACGCCCAGGCGAATGAAATACTAAAAAACCTTAATCCTTAAGCTAAATAGAGGGTTATATCATACATCTACAAGAGCTTTAAGATCCATAAATGGTTTACTTTTATTTCTTACCTTTATTCTGTCCTCATAAGTAAGAATCAAAATGTTAGGGTCGTCCCTTTGTTCCCACCAGCCTAACACGTGATCAAAGTGCAAACCAAACGTAACTGCAAAGTAGGCAAGGAAAAGCTTCTCATTAAAACGTACCAATTTGCTATTTATATTTCCTTCATCCAAACAGACCTCAGAAATATTACATTCCCAGAGCTTGATTTACTTTAAGTTTTATAGGTTGGTGGACTCTTAACCTGCGAGCTCACTATGATATGTTATGTTTCGTTGATGGTATGGGTGCCTTTTCCAATCGACGATCAGACAGTCAGACATAACCGAGATTTCATCGTTTGTTTGTTTGATAGCTTCGCGTCGTGGTTTCCTACGCTTATTTCGTGTTCTCCCAACCTCCCAAGTGTTTACATCAGGCTATGTAAACACGGAAACCATTTTACATTTCTTTTATAAAATAACTAATGAAAGAGGAACGATACGCTCGTGTAAAATGGTTTTATGGCCAATCAGAGCGCGCGTACTATTTGAATTATTTTATAATTTTTCCTGTTTAACTCTCAAACGTGTCAGCCTTGGCACTCTTGTTGTGTTTTTTTCTCTACCACCGTCTTGCGGGAAGCTATGCTAGTGAACTAGCCATACGTTTGTCTCTTCTGAAATTTATTATCAAAGGATGTTCACTGAGTTGTAGAACCAATATACCTACTATATGTCTTAATGACTTAAAGCCCTTGTTCATGAAGAATGGCTAAGGGAATGTTACTTACAGTCTCCTGTGATAAAACGTTTGAACGCCTCGTCCCAGGAAGGAATTTCCACTAAATAAGGCATGTTGCGGTGATGATGATAAATAGACACAAGCACATCTTTGGGATTGCGCACAACATATATGTATTGAGGCTTGTCAGCTTCATCAGAGCCCTTAGGGACGAAGCAATAAGGAAGATGAGTTTTGAATACGCGAGGCTCAGGGAAGCTGGTAAACA